ACACTTGACAATGTTTAATTTCGTGTGCTATTACTGTACACGCACACATGGTGACGTGCGTGTCTGTTAAAATTTGAAAATTCTCCATATTACTATTCAGATAGTTTAAAGAACGTTTCGGGTCATTTTTGGCATTTTAAAACTTTCCATAATTTACCCGCCGTACCTTCATTTCCACGCACATAGCACATACTAAAGCTGGAAATTACGCGTTGTTACATAATTTGTGTTCCTGACAGAGTCAGGAGTCACTCTTTGTGACATTACCGTGCTCACGGGCGTCAAGACGTGCGTGTACGCATGCGTAAGTCTTTTAAAATGCACAAAATTATTCTTTTTTTTTTAAACTAATTACAGCATATATTAGCATATTATGAAACTTTTCAATCAGCACTGCGCACGCTTCCTGAGGGTCAAAGTACGGCGGATCACCAAATTCGTCCTCAGTGACGAGTTCAAATCTAGTTTTTATTATTATTATCATCATCATAATCATTATTATCATTATTCTTATTATTATTATTATTGATGTTATTATTGTTGCCTGCAAATATTTTTCTAATCACAAAGTCGCTACGTCATGGAAAGACTGTTTTTCCTCTGCTGTCCAGGGCCACCGAGAGCGGGGCAGGGGGAAAGGTAGGGCCACCGAGAGCAGGGCAGAAGGAAAGGTCCCTGTGACCCAAGCAAACCAGGGGCCCATAGAAATTGAAGCATAGCATTTTTTTGCAATATCTCTTTCAAAAATAATAATTGCTATCATGCGCCTTCAAAAATAAAAAGGGTCCCCTATTCCCCCTATGGACCCCTCCAGATTGACAGGGCCACTCAATTTTTTTCTTTTTGTGCCTTCCGCGCAATTTTAACCTGTTTTTTTTTAACCTGTTCACTGTAATACAGTTTCCTCTCTTGGCAGCCCTGATGCTGTCTAATTCTTCTTACTTGTTGAAAAAAATTGTTGTAATTTACATTTTTATTAAATATGCGGTAAGTCTAGATACTGTTGACATGATAAGCTGATAAACATGTTTGCCTTTTTAAACTTGTTGCGTTCGAACTGAGTTTCTGTGCTGTGGTTTCCATATCAAAACAAAACAAGCAGCACATGTGTCGACCTTCGACTTGTCATGCATTGTCACGTGTTTGTTTGACCAATCATAACACGGTTGACGTCTGTTCTCTACTCGCAAGTGGCCTAGCCTAGTAGTAGTGCTACACTAGTGGCCTACTTAGCCTAGGCGCCTAGCCCTACCTAGGCCTCATCCTGAAAATGGTCCCGCGATAGTCTGGAAATCATTTCAGCCCAAATACTACTAGCTAGGGCCTAGGAGGGCTACTAGGGCCTAGGCTAGAAAGGCTAGGTAGCCTAGGCCTACTCCTCCTAGGCCTAGGGTCTAGACTAGACCCTACTAGGTAGGCCCTAGGGCCTGGGCCTAGGCTAGCCTCTAGACCTAGCCTAGGACTTTACTTAGGCCTACCCTAACCCTAGCCTAGGGCCTAGGCCTATGCCAAGGTACAAATCTTTACACAAATAATGCTTACCCATCGCTAACTTGTTGTAGTTCAACTTTTTTCTGGCTTTGTAATAAAATGCTTACATAATGTCGTATTATTCCGACAAAGAAAGTTATAAAAACAATGGGCAAAACCACCCAAACTCTAATATTTGAATCTAAAAGCAGCTCAGCCATTTTGAGAACCACTCAGGATAGCGGGAGAGAGAGAGAGAGAGGATCGACAACGAGTTTTTCTTCTGGAAAGCGCCACCAACGAGCGAATTAATTCAGTACTGTATCTGTTAATGTGTACTCAATAATCAAGAATTGACTTGGTGTTTGTCTTTTGGTTACACACTAGGGAACAATTCGAACATAATCGCTGGCACTCAATAAGATGCTGCACACAGTCATAAAAATGAGAGATCAAACAACGTTTAAAATGTTATCTTTTATTGTTGGCTTTTGTCGTTGAGAGTAGGCCTAACTTTGATGGTAAAATTTCACTTTTTTAACTTCCACTGTATCTTTAATATTCAAAACGGTTTTATACTTAATTATAAAATTGTGTCGTTTGAACTAATTTAACTAATTTGTAATGTTTTTTTTTATATTCATATTTTGATGTTGACTGTTGTCACATAGCGTTTTGTCCTCTTATTTTTTACAATTTTAATGTGTTATTTTTTAGAACGAGCAAAATTTAATACAATTTGACATTGACATTGAATATTAAAATTAAGAACAAAATCTAATTGGCAAAACACAATAACAATGCTTTCATAAATACACATAAGTGAAGTAATTTTAAAAATGGTTAATTAATGAAATAAAAAAATAAATAAACTTAGTGATAGGCCTTCTCCGTAATAAAAATAAACTAAATAAATAAAATTACAAATGAATATTAAGTAATACACCATACAGACAGACCAATAACATTAAATAATATGTTTCTAACAGCATTACGTGTACAAAATGCCTATATTTCATATAATTCACTGAGTAGCCCAAATAGGGCATGTAACCCAGGCTATGAAGAAGCGAGCTCCTGAATTTTCCCTTAAACTGTCCCAACGGAGAGAGAGAGAGAGAGAGAGAGAGAGAAAACAAAAAGCAAAAAAAAAAAAACGTGATCTGTTCTCATTTTAAGGCTGTCCTTTAGCTAGACAGCGATAGGCTTATTGCCCGGGGAGCTCGCTTTACAAGATTTTAAGATTCTAGTTCGACTACTTAATGTTATTAGAGTCAGCCACCAAACAAGTTAAAAAGAGGAAGCCCTTCAGCTGGTCCGGTTATGACTGGACCAATTTGTCCATAATATTATCATGTATATTATAAGCAAATAATTCAGACATTCCACCGAATAAGATTCACGATTTTCTTTTTAAATATATAGTACATCTTGTAGAAAATATACTTAACTTATTAAGCTTAAATGAAAAAAATAAATAAATAAAATAAATAAAAATTAAAAAATAAATAAATTAAATAAATAAATAATAAAATAATAATAATAATAATAATAATAATAATAAAAATAAAATGAAATAAATGAAAAGAGCTCGTCTTACAATTGCAATATAAAAGGATGAAACAGTCAGAAAAAACCAAAAAGATACAATAAAATGTTGGTCTTTGATTCCCCACAAGGGCCGGCGGGATAACCAAAAAGTAAAATAAATCACTGTCAAATGGTCTCCATATGATGAGGGGAATCAGAGAACAGCAAAACACACAGGTCTCTGTCTCGTCGTTGTTTGGTAATATTTTTATTAAGTACTTTCATCATTTGAATTTTGGTATGCTTCTGTAAATTTATTTTTTCTGTGCACTCCTTTTAGAAAATTATTATTGAAAAAATTGAAATTGAAAAAAAGAAAATGGAGGATATGGTGGAAAAATGTCCGAAATCAGTAGCATGACATTCATACGGATCCCCATTTTCCTGTAAATTTTATTTTATTCAACTGCAACAGGCAAGAACAGAACAGAACAGGTGAACAAGCACCTCTACAGGGCCGTCTTACCACCGGTGTGAGATAAATGATATCACAAAAATAAATATAATAATGCATGAGAATAAATATATGTCCAATTTACCATGTGAGGAATTAAAATGCACATATCAATAGAAATATCATAAATTCCGATTTATCGTCGGGGACAGTCTTGAGCGGTCGGGAGAAATATTAAACATGTTTAATATTCTACGACGCGACAGCCCCCGACGCAGACCATCGCGTCTGTGTTTAAAGGCCAACTCAGACAGCGTCGGCCGACGCAGCCCGACCTAATTTATCGTCGGGGACAGTCTTGAGCAGTCGGGAGAAATATTAAACATGTTTAATATTCTACGACGCGACAGCCCCGACGCACACCATCGCGTCTGCGTTTTACTCACACAGAACCGACGCGACAACAAATCGCGTCGGGCTGCGTCGTACGACGCTGTCTGAGTTGGCCTTTAAAAGATAACGGTAACAAGTCAAGATGTATGTGGCGCGACTTGTAATCAAGGTCGAGATAGTGCAATATGAATTTGGTAGCACGTACCCTCAATACTCATTATGTTTCTTTTGGATGTACCGCTCCAATATGATGATATATCAACTCCAAGATCAGTGGTAGAATCATTTCTTTTGAGAGATATACAATTCAATTTATAATCAACATTAATTTTATTTTTGATCTTTCTGGTAATAGATATAATCTGACACTTGGAAATGTTAAACAGACAGACCTATTCTTGATTTTTTTTAAACACTTGGAATCATCAGCGAACATTGCCAGAGTGTACAAGTCTTAAAACATTAAAGTGTAATAATGCCTGAAGCTCATACGTATTCACATACAATCAAATCAATTTAAAAACACATGTATAATGT